TAGATAAAGAAAAAAATGTGTGTATATATACCATGAAGTTACTACTCAGCCATAAAAAGGAATGAAATACTGTCTTTTGCAGCAACCTGGATGGAACTGGAGACCACTATCTTAGGTATCTCCTAAATGGAAAAAGAAATACCACATGTACTCACTAATAATGGGGAGCTAAACGATGGGCACACATGGGCACAAAGTGAAGTAAAGCGGTGATCCTCAACCTTCTTGGTTGGCACTGTATAAAGAAGCTTTGGCCAAGGACTGACTGCATATACAACAGTGGTTCCAGAGATTATAATGCTATATTTGTACTGTGCCTTTTCTATGTTTAGATACACAAATACTTACCATTGTATTATAGTTGCCTACAGTATTCAGTACAGTAACATGCTGTACAGATTTGTAGTTTAGGAGCAATGGACTATACCATTATAGCCTAGGTCTGTAGTAGGAGGTACCATTTAGGTTTGTGTAAGTACAATTAATGATGTTCACACAATGATGAAATTACCTAACAATGCATTCCTCAGAACATATCTCCATCATTAAGCAATGTGTGACTATATTCTAAAAGCTAATAAACATTAAAAACCATTGAGCCTCATTGAAATATTCCCTGAAAGACAATTTTTGGTAAGGGAGGAGGGGAAAGAAATGCTAAATTACATTGATAGACAACTTTGAGGGGGGAGGAGAAAGGGAAGAAGCTCTATATTAAACATATACATTAATGTAAGGTATAGCTTAATATCTGTTGTGAGTGAAGTGGGGGTTTGGGGAAATAAGCACTCCAGTAAGCACCCTTAACTGTGGTTGGTTTTTCTCTTAATATGATCCCAAAGTGAATGTGGTACAAAGTAATTTGTTTTCTGTTTACATTGAATTAACCTGACATTTTATAATTTGGAAAATTTTTATGATTAATTACATTGAATGCTTTCTTATACTTCACAGTGAGAGACCCACCACCAGTTTGCCTTGATGTTAGACAAAAACAGCGTATCTCTGTAGATTCATTATCATCTGAAACGAAGGCCCCAGCCCTTCCAGAATCTATCCTTCCAGTCCAGCCCAAAACTATGAAAGACTTTCAGTAAGTTTCAACTCAATATTTATATGTAGACATACAGTTATCCGCATGTCAGCACTTTACATAATTTAATATCTGTGTGAGTAATTGAACATATAGATCATTATAAGGTATTAGCCAAGAATGAAGACCCGAAAGACTAGATTTCTCAAGTTGAAGGGGAAAACAAATGTATGAATAACAAGTAAGGGTTAGATATATTGCAGCAAAATAAAGGAAACACCAATTCAGAGACCATGAATCAAAACAGGCAAAAAGAGATAAAAGTGGTGATATAATAATAGAGTGTTGCCATTTTAAATAAGAGCTCATCTCTACTGTGTGATATATATTATCACCATTTAGAAAATCCAAATGCATGTTCGAAGGATTAAGTGGGAATGAGAAAGTAGAGACGAATGTATATCTTCAGAGGCTTAGCTATCAAGGGAAGGAAAAAGAGTGCTAATTGGAAGAGACATGTCAAAAGTGAACTTTTTTTAAAACAAGTAAATGGGAAAATTGAAGCTGGGTTAATATCTTAATCCAATTAAGAACTGTAAATTTATAAACTATATTTACACTAACTAGAACATTTCTGTATTTGGTTTCAGTATTTCAAGTTTCATGTTTACTGACATTTTTTGTAAAAATGTAATGCTATTTTATCTGAATAATATTTCTATCTATATGTGGTTAACGTATTTTTCATTTTAGGGAAGATATGGAAAAAGTTAAGTCATCAGGAGATTGGAAAACAATACATGATTTTTATCTAACAACATTTGATTCTTTCCCAGAATTAAATGCTGCATTTAAGGTAATAATACATAAAATACATCTTTCACTCACTTTGTTTTAAATTTTCCAAAAAAGATTTGATAAATTTATTTCAGGCCAGGCACAGTGGCTCACGCCTATAATTCCAGCACTCTGGGAGGCCAAGGTGGGAGGATTGCTTGAACTCAGAAGTTCGAGACCAGCCTGAGCAAAAACAGGACCTTGTCTCTTTCAGAAATAGAAAAAATTAGCCAAGCATGGTGGCATGCCTGTAGTCTCAGCGACTCAGGAGGCTGAGGCAGGAGGATAGCTTGAGCCCAGGAGTTTGAGGTTGCAGTGAGCTATGATGATGCCACTGCACTCTACCTGGGGCAGCAGAGCGAGACTCTGTCTCAAAAAATTTACTTCATTTTCTACCCAATATTTACTTAAATGTTTAAACTAGCATATATGGTATATACTGATTTATGAAATTACACATATCACAGATATTATATAAGTGATATCTTAAATATCATTACTTAATAATACTAATGTTAATGTTTGACTCCATTCTTTCACTTTTAAAAAAAGAAAGTTATTAAAATAATCCCTATATATTCATTTTTATTTTCAGCAATTTTGCCCTAA